GCCGCGCGCGGGCTGCTAGCGGGCTACGCGCACTAAAAAAAAGGCCGCGCGCGGCACTAGCGAGCTGCGCACGGGCAGCAGGAGGAAGAGAGGCGCACGAGGGCGCACTAGGAGAGAGGCACTCGAGGGCGCTTCTAGCGGTGGGCCCTTAGGTAAGCGGTCCTAGGACTAGGACCTAAGCTCTTAATACCATGTCAGAAACAAGAAGTAATTGAACTATCAAACATTGGAGTACAAGTATGAAACCCTAGAGTTGTGTACCCCCTAAAGGCTAACCCACTATTGCCTACACAGCAATAACATATATATGATGTTTGACACGCCCACGCGGGGTGAACATCATGAAGAACCGGTGGGTGCTGACGACCAAGTACCGCATCGACGACACCGTCGAGCGCGAGAAGGCGAGGCTGGTCGTGAAGGGCTTCACGCAGGTGTACGGTGCCGACTACGACGAGACGTACTCGCCGGTGAGCAGCTACGTCACGCTGAGGATCTTCCTTAGCATTGTCGCCGTCCTCGACCTCAACCTAATGCAGCTCGACATGAAGAACGCTTTCCTGTAGAGCAAGCTCGACAGGGTGCTCTACATGTACCAGCCGGACTACTTCGACGATGGGACCGGCCGGGTGTGTAAGCTGCTGAAGAGCCTCTACGGGTTGAAGCAGTCGCCGCTGCTGTGGTACAGGGCTCTCGACAGTGTGCTGCTGGGCGCTGGCTGGAAGAAGAGTCAGGTCGACGAGGCGCTCTACTTCAAGGCCGGCGACGACGGAGTGACCTGCAGGGTGCTGGTCTACGTCGACGACTTGCTCGCCGCCAGCAGCAGCACCGCGATGCTGAAGGAGCTGAAGGAGCTGCTGGAGGCCGCCTTCGAGCTGCGTGAGATCTCGCCGGTGGTGAAGTACCTTGGGCTGGAGATAGTGCGCGACAGACCAGCCAGGAAGCTGTGGCTGCACCACCAGGGCTACGCCAACAAGCTGCGCAGGTGCTTCATCGACGAGGAGCAGGGCGGTCGAGTCCCGAAGACGCCGGTCTCTGTCAACGCCTACGCTCAGCTGACGTTCGACGACGAGGAGGCCCAGGAGCGCGAGGAGGAGGAGTACCGGCAGAAGGTCGGCTCGCTGCAGTTCGCGGCGACGACGACGAGGCCGGACATTGCGTTCGCCTGCAGCAAGATGGGGAGCGGCCTCACGGTGAGGAGCGATCAACATTGGCGCGAGGTCGACCGCTGCCTCGACTACCTCGCCGACACCCGCGACACCGCTCTGGAGTTCGGCGGTGGACCAGAGTCGCTGGAACTGATCGGCTACGTTGACGCCGATGATGCGGGCGAGAAGCAGAAGCGGACGAGCACGGGAGGCTACGTGTTCGTCTACGGAGGGGCCGCCGTCTCCTGGTCGAGCTCGCGCATCAAGTGCGCGACATTGTCATCGACCGAGTCGGAGTACGTGGCGGCCACGGACGCCGGCAAGGAGGGGCGTCGACTTCGCTTCCTCCTTGCGGAATTCAAGCTGCTCGACGCTGGGCAGCCGACCATCCTCCGCGTCGACAACAAGTCGGCAATCACGATCGATAAGGGCTTGGGGCTGACGGGCAACCTCAAGCACATGGAGAAACGCTACGCGTGGCTGCAGCACATGGTGAGGCGCGGGAAGCTCGTGCTGAAGTACATCCCGACCATCGAGCAGCTGGCTGACTTCCTGACGAAGGCGCTGCATTTTCCGGCTTTCAACCGGTGCTCTGTCGCCATCGGCCAAGTTCGTATGTCCGACGTCGGCGACGGCGACGATGAGGTGCAGCAGTAGGTGCCGTGCCCTTTTGCACGGCTGGTGCGGTGACGGCGTGCTGTATGTGGGGTGCACGCCGAGGACGAGTTTTCTCCGTGGAGTACTGCCGTGTGGGCTGGAGGCCCAAGCGTGAGCACGGCAGGGGAGTGTTAACGGGAGTGGAGTGTTGGCCCCGCCCTTGCTCAGGCAACGCCGACGACTTGGTCGGATGTACGGGAGTAGCAGCCGACCGTTCACAGTGGGAGAGCTGCTCGACAGGCTTCGTCGAGCAGCAGGGGACCGCTGTGGTGTTGTTGTCGACCAGGGAGCTCGACAGCTTCAACTAACTGGTCTGGGCAACGGGTGGGCCGTTGACCAGGAGGGGCAGTTCGACCGGAAGGTCGACGGAGCAGTCCGTCGACCTGCAGCTCGACCGGGAGCAGTCAGTCGGCCTGCAGCTCAACCGGGAGGGCTCCGTCGACCTGCAGCTCGCCCGGGAGGGCTCCGTCGACCTGCAGCTCGACCGGGAGGGCTCCGTCGACCTGCAGTTCGACCGGGAGGTCGACGGAGCAGTCCGTCGACCTGACAAGTGAGCAGCGGTCAACGAGGGGAGCTCATCGACAGCCGCTGATGGTTCTGGTCGACGGAAGGGGTCCATCGACCAGGGGGTAGCTTGACAGGAGTTGTGGTCGACCAGAGGCACCTGGTTGTCGACCAGAGGGACCCGGTGGTCGACCTGAGGCACCTACGGGTCGACCAGAGCACCTGGGGGTCGACCGGGTCGACCGGGTAACCTGCTCGACGAGTTCTGTGGAGGCACGCGAACGTCGTCGAGGTCGCGATGGCGCAGGCGACTTCGGGCTGGTATCCCGAAGTCGATGTGGCTCGTCAAGCGCAGACAACAGCCGACGGATGCCCAACGAGGCAAGTCGGGCACCTGCGAGCGTGCGCACTGCTGTGTTCTACGGGGCAATGCTGGACAGCCGCTCTGTTGCAGCGTTGGCACGCCGTCGACCTGCTCTGTTGGCAGGTCGCCCTTTTGCAGTGCTAGCGCGGCTCCTCTACGCAACGCTGGCAGGCGGTCGTCCGAGCTGTGCTGGCGGTCGACCAGGCTAGCTGCAGGGTTGCTAGGTGCCTGATGTGGTTATTCTGTCATTGCTTGTTCAACCATTTTGTAATTTCGACTTTGCCTAGTGGAAACTCTTGCCGATTTCTCCCGTGAATGTGCAAGCACTAAGGAGCTAAGCAAAGCTACGATCACCTCTAGTAGTTCGTGCCAACCCCCGTAGTCTAGCTCACTACCGTTGTAGAGTGACTCTCCGCAGTACCGCCCACGGATGATGTTCTTGGTACAGTGACTGGGACGACCAACTTCTTGACACCCTCATCTCCGTTTTCCCCCCGGATTGCTGGGACCTGGATCCCACAGCGGGATAGTAACAAGCTTTCATTCCAATCCCCATAGGGGGGTTTCTGTTTGCACAGTTCTAAACAGTATGCGCCTCTCATTTGCATTTGCAGCTGGGCACAAGCCATACTAGTGCTTGCATCGAATTGCAAGGTCGATGGAGGCAATTTTATTCGCCCATTCACCACATCCGACAGCCTAGATGGCCTAGATTCGCAGACACCTTGCGCTCTCCCTTCCCTCCTAGTTGATTTGCGGCACCTAGTACTATCATGGTCTACCTTCCTTGTGGGCTACCCTAATCGCCTTTTCTCAGCTGTAGCACAGCGTATCTCAGCACGAGCATTGGAACAGCTATGTGCAGCAGCAAACCAGCGCCACCAGTCGGTCCGTTTGACCTCTCTCCGTTTGGCTCACTACTATGCCCTCCTTGCTGCACTCACCAGATTGGCTCATAGCAGCGGGGCTACGATTAGGCCTGCCATTCCCCACCTCCGCCTTCTTGAATCCGCTCTTCCATTCTCCCTAGCCATGCCCTTCGCTGCCCCAACCTTCAAGAGCCTACTCATGTTCATGACGCGGTAAAGCATGAGGTTGCTAGGATAGCACAAGAAGTTGGGTTCACGGTTTGTGTCGAGGGCCCTACCTTGCTGGCGGATCACGTGGTGAATATCTGTTGCCTTTACCCGTGTGCGGGAATCAAGTGGGCTCTAGATATTTCCGTAATTGACCCGCAGCAGCAGAGGGCACCAGCTAAGGCGACTCACACGGCCGGACTTTCAGCGAAGTAGAAAGAGTCAGAGAAGTAGCACGCATATGCTCGCGCTCTTCACGATTGGCCTGCAGCCAAGCTCGTGCCGCTAACCTTGGAGACATTTTGTTGCCTCAACCCGGCCTTCAAGACCTTCTTACGTGATTGCAGTCGCAGTGCAGCAGCTCGCCGTATGGACCGTGGGGTAGCAGATGCAATTCCCACAGGGGCATTCGAGCCGTCCTTTCTTCTACGCATTTCGATGGCATTGCAGCATGCTCAACTGGGATCAAATCGCCAAAGGGTAGAAGCAGCTTTCCCCTCATCCTCTGATTCCATCACCACACATGACCCTTCTTTCTCTGATTTCCCAGCCTTCAACGACGACATCCCTGACTTGGCATACCTCTTCAACCTCCTTGCGTGAGGGGCTATTGAAAACCAGTGGGGCATAGTACATATTCTCAAGTGCATAAGCTTCCCTGCCGTTAGTTTCCATCCAAAGCCGTTCTTATGTGATTCTCAAACACATTTGTCACTCCTTGAATCACTCCATCCCCTTTCATCTTTAGATAGTGAGCCACAATAGTGTACAATTGAATATATGAACTTTGTAGATAAAAAAGGATAGAGTGTCGTGCTAAGGTAGTATCCCTGCCTGTGTCAAGAAGTTGGTGTCAAGAAGTTTGCACATGCGCGATTCTTTAGGATAAACGCGAAGGTCACAGATTAACGGATAAACGCGAAGGTCACAGGTTAACGGATAAATGCGAAGGTCACAGGTTCGAAGGTCACAAGGCCAATTCTTTTCTGTACCTCTCGTGTGACTGGTGCTTCAATTGCCCCTTCTCGGGCTCGTAGAGTAAGGACGCGGTGAAAGTGCTCAATCAGGAGTAGATCGATACGGTCACCGCACTGAAACCCCGCGTTTTGCATACAAAATGTACACAACCTTTTATAACCGCGCTAAAAAACGATCCTTGGGCGATCGATTCTTCACTTTCACCGCGTCCTAAGATAACTCTCCCCCTCCTCCACCCTGTCGTTTTTTGCTCGCTCGCAGTGGCACTTCCGCATGGCGTCGCGATCCGCGTTGGCCAGCGTGCCCACGGCCGTGGCGGCGTGCGCGTCGTCGTGCGGCGCCACTCTCGCCGCTGCGGCAGCGCCGCTCCTCGTTGCATCCGATCCCTTCGCCGCGTTCGATCAGCGTGAGTTGCGGCGAGTAGATCCTGCTCGCTGCTCGTTGACGACCGCTGCTTCCCCATCGGAGCAGACGGCGACCGAACAATCTCGATCGGTTCTTTCCGAGCATCCGCACTCCCACCCGCCCGCCGCTCCCGCCGCTCGGGTCTCATCCGCTGCCTTCGTTTCTTCCCCGCTCGCAGCCCACATTCAATCGCGCTTCGCCGTCGCTCCAGCTTCCACAGCCGTCCGTCCGGGGTCGGCGGGATCTCGTCATCTCCTAGCCGTCCGTCCAGGTTCCAGTAGTTACCACCACATTCTCAGCAGTGACGTGGCTCGCTCGCTCCTTCGCCAGATCTTGCTGACGTCATCGTGGCCACCTCAGCGCAGATTCAGCGGGTGCAGAGCAGCGGGATCAACGGCTGGCATTTTCTCCGGATCAACGGCTGAATTAGATCCTGGATCGACGGCTAGCAGCGACCGGAAGGATGCGGGAGAGGAGGGCAGGGCGGCATTATCCGGGGGAGGTGGGTTGTCTGACCGCGAGGTGTTGAGTTTAGCTACTGACGATCTTGCACAGTCGCACGAAAGCGATGATGACTATAGCGAGGCACGTGAGGATGGCGCGTCGGATGATAGCGACGTTGATGCGAGCGTGCAGGAATCATCGGATGTGGCGCGGAGCAGCGACGGCGGGGGAAGCGCGGATGCCCGCGCAATGGGCGCGGGGGGACAGGCGGAGGCGGACGTGGCAGCGCAGCAGGTGGCGGGGCTGGCGACACTGGCGGAGCTGTACGAGGCGCAGGAGAAGCTCGCCAGGAGCGCGCGCTTCCGCGAATCGGTTGCGCTCTTCCGCGCGTGGATGCGCAAGGACAAGAGCGCGGGCGCAGGGGGGGGCGCAACCGAGGCAGGGGGCGCTCCTGCGCCGGGTGCTGGCGCGGAGGCAGCTGGGGAGGCTGGGGCCGGGGCAGAGAAGGCGGAAAGGCCGGAATGGTGGAATCACGAATTCGAGGCGCAGCTACGGAAGGAGCGCGAGGAACAGCTGCCGCTGATGACGTGGCAGCTGTACCTGCACGCGATGATGCACGTGGGGCCTCCCGTGCAGGCGGTGCAGGGGGTGGTGCGCGCGATGAGGGAGATGCGCGGGCAGGGCGTGCAGGCGTCGAAGGACACGTACCACGTGCTGCTGCGCACCGCCCTCGCCCGCCGCGACGCCAACGCCGTGCTGCTCTTCCTCACCCAGTGCGTCGGGGCGTCACGGTGTCGTGGGGGTGTGGGGCCGTGACCGCGTGGGTGGGGGCGTGACGTGCGCTGGGAGGGGGGAGGGGGGGGGGCAAGAGAGGTTCTTTGCATGGGCAAAGCGGTTGGGGGTTGCAACCACCTCCCCCCCCTCCTCGCCCACCCCTCCCGCCCCGCCCTTCCTGCCAACCCCTGCTGCCCCTCCCAGCTCCCACCCACCCACCCGCACTCCTCCCACGCCCCTTCCCTCCATCCCTCCCCTCCCTATCGTCTCAACCACCCCCCACCCCCCCCACCCCCTCCACCCCCTTCCCCCCACCTCCTGGCGGCAGGATGGGCGCAGCGAGGGTGGGCAGGTACAACGGGGCGGTGGTGCTGTGCGCCAAGGAGCGCCGCATGCACGCGGCGCTGCAGCAGCTCGTGGCTGACTTGACGCCCCTCCACCCCCTTCCCCCCATTCCCCCCTGGCGGCAGCATGGGCGCAGCAAGAGTGGTACCAGAAGCAGGCAGCTACAGTGCAGCGGTGGTGCTGTGCGCCAAGGAGCGCCGCATGCACGCGGCCTTGCAGCTCGTGGCGGACATGCGGCGGGCGCGCATGGCACCGTCCCCCCGGGCCGTGTCGGAGCTGCTCGCCACGTGCCTGCACACACGGCGCTCCCGGGATGCCATCACGGTGCTTGAGGTGGTCAAGGTGCGCACGGGGAGGGGGCAGGGGGTGTGCCGCTGCAGGGGAGTGTGGGTGTGCCTGTGCCCTGCCGTCGCCACGTGCCTGCACACGCGCCACTGCCGTGATGCCATTGCTGTGCTGGAGATGGCCTCGGCCGCTGCACCAAGTGTGCACTTGCACACGAGGGTGCACCAAGTGTGAACTTTCACACGAGGGTGCACCAAGTGTGTACTTTCACACGAGGGTGCACCAAGTGTGTACTTTCACACGAGGGTGCACCAAGTGTGTACTTTCACACGAGGGTGCACCAAGTGTGTACTTTCACACGAGGGTGCACCAAGTGTGTACTTTCACACGAGGGTGCACCAAGTGTGAACTTTCACACGAGGGTGCACCAAGTGTGTACTTTCACACGAGGGTGCACCAAGTGTGTACTTTCACACGAGGGTGCACCAAGTGTGAACTTTCACACGAGGGTGCACCAAGTGTGTACTTTCACACGAGGGTGCACCAAGTGTGTACTTTCACACGAGGGTGCACCAAGTGTGTACTTTCACACGAGGGTGCACCAAGTGTGTACTTTCACACGAGGGTGCACCAAGTGTGAACTTTCACACGAGGGTGCACCAAGTGTGAACTTTCACACGAGGGTGCACCAAGTGTGAACTTGCACTCCACCCCATGCACCCTCTCTCCCACTGCCCTCGCCGCCCTCCGTGCTCGCGTCTCCTCCCTGCAATGCATGGCAGGCGCACAAGATAGAGATGGAGGGCAGGGCCATGGAGCATGCGCTCATGACAGCCGTGGACACCGAGGACTATGACTGCGCTTATCTCGCCATGCAGGTGCGCTTATCTCGCGATGCAGGTGCGCTTATCTCGCCATGCAGGTGCGCTTATCTCGCCATGCAGGTGCGCTTATCTCGCCATGCAGGTGCGCTTATCTCGCCATGCAGGTGCGCTTATCTCCCCATGCAGGTGCGCTTATCTCGCCATGCAGGTGCGCTTATCTCGCCATGCAGGTGTGCTTATCTCGCCATGCAGGTGCGCTTATCTCGCCATGCAGGTGCGCTTATCTCGCCATGCAGGTGCGCTTATCTCGCCATGCAGGTGCTCCCACTCCTTGCTTGCTTGTGCCATATCAAGCGAAGGCTCCCCTCCCATATGCCGTCTTGCCTCCTCCTCCTCCTCCTCCTCCTCCTCCTCCTCCTCCTCCTCCTCCTCCTCCTCCTCCTCCTCCTCCTCCTCTCCCTCCTCCTTCCCACCCTCCTCGCATCCCCTCTTCCCATTCCTCTCTCCCCACCCCACTATCACCCGTTGCCCACGCCCCAATCTCCCTCACCTCTCGCCCCCCTCCCTCGCCTCCCTGCCAAACAGCTGATGCAGGAGTAAGGTGAGTACGTGCACGACAAGGTGAGTACGTGCACGACAAGGTGAGTACGTGCACGACAAGTTTTGAGACTTCTCAAAACGCACTCCTCTCCCCCGTCCCCCCACCCCCCCACAGCTGTTGCAGGAGCAACGGGACAGCGTGCACGATGGGCTGATGCTGCACGTGGCCAACATGGCGGCCAGGGCGGGCCACACGCCCATCATAGAGCACGTGTGGGACCGCCTCCTGCGCCGCCCCTACCCGCCCTCCCCCGCCTTCCACCTCGCGCGCATCCACGCCTACAGCGCCGCGCCCAACTTCCCCTGCGCCTTCCGTGCCGCGCTGCACCTGCAGGACTTGCTGCTGCACCCCACGCTCGCCCGCCCCAAGGACCTTCCCCCCTACGACATCTTCCCCAAGTTCCGCCCCGGCACTCCCGGCGCTCCCCAGGATGATTTATTTCGCTACACGCTGCCTCTGCCGGCCCCGCCTGGTGCTGCGGGTGTAGGGGGTGAGGGGGAGGGGCTGGCGGGGGCAGAGGGGGGGGTGACAGGTGGCAGCGCGCCATTGGAGGAGCTGAACCCATTCACGTCGCTGCGGCCGCTGACGCTGGCGCTGTGCTCTAATGTGGATGTGCTCGATAAGGTGAGCCATGGGGGGCACTCTGGTGAGACTTTTTTGAGACAACTTGGATACGACTTTAAAACAACTTCTGAGACGTCTCAACGTCGTTGATACGGTGAGCCGCAGGCCCGCAGGGGCCGCGCTGGGGGGAGCTGGGGGTCAGCTAGCTAGGGGCGACGCTGGGGTAGCCATACCTCACCATGCTCCCCCCAGTTCTTTACCCCCTCCACTCTCTCTCACCCACCACACAGGGCTACAGCACGTTGGAGAGCATGCACGAGCAGGGCGAGGTGGTGGCGCTGGCAGCACTCAACTTCTGAGGCGCCTCAGAAGCCTGCCTCCTCTCCCCTCTCCCCACTCTCCCCACCCACCACACAGGGCTACAGCACATTGGAGAGCATGCACGAGCAGGGCGAGGTGGTGGCGCTGGCAGCACTCAACTGCGTGGTGGCGGGGTGTGCCATGCAGCGCGACGTGGGGCGCGCACAGCTCACCTTCGATGAGATCACGCGCACGTTCCAACTGCAGCCCGACACGCACTCCTTCAACGCCCTCATGGAGTGCTACTCGGGCGTGGCCGACGTGAGTTGTGCAATGCTGCTGCTGTCGGGTCCGCAGGCGTGGTGCTGTGAATTCTCAATGCGTGCAACAGCAACGATTCCAGCTGTAGCCCGACTGGATCCTTCAGCGCCCTCGTGGAGTGCGACTTGGGCATGGCTGATGTCAGTTTTGCTGGCACCGCTGCTCTTGACTCTCAAGCCGAGAGCCACACACGCGCCTGAGTCAACTGAGAGGGAAACGTAGCTGGGTTGGAGTGGGAAGCTGGCCTGGGTGCGGGCTTGCTCTCGTACGCTGCCCACGTGGTGCAGCTCTTTCAGCACATGAGCTCACAAGCCTGTCCTTCTGCACCTCTGCCACCCCCTCTCTCCCCGCTCCGCACCTAACCCCCCAGGTGCGCACGGTGGTGCAGCTGTTTGAGCACATGACGCGCACTCTGCACCTGCCACCCACCGCCGACTCCTTCACCATCCTCGTGGACGCCCACATCCGCGCCTTCGATGCCCCGGGGGCATGCATCGCCATGGATAAGATGGTGAGTGCATCGCCATGGATAAGATGGTGAGTGCATCGCCATGGATAAGATGGTGAGTGCATCGCCATGGATAAGATGGTGAGTGCATCGCCATGGATAAGATGGTGAGTGCATCGCCATGGATAAGATGGTGAGTGCATCGCCATGGATAAGATGGTGAGTGCATCGCCATGGATAAGATGGTGAGTGCATCGCCATGGATAAGATGGTGAGTGCATCGCCATGGATAAGATGGTGAGTGCATCGCCATGGATACGATGGTGAGTGCATCGCCATGGATAAGATGTTGAGTGCATCGCCATGGATAAGATGGTGAGTGCATCGCCATGGATAAGATGGTGAGCTGTACTCTCTCCACCGCACCGCCCTATTCCTTTGAGGTTATGCGACCCTAATCCTCTGACTGCCTGCAGTGCTTATTGCAACCTGAAACATCCATCTCCGTTTTCCTCCCGCCTCACGTGCCCACCCCACTCCACCCGCCCACTCCTGCTGCAGCCCGGCACTGCCTATGCTTGGGACTGCACAGAGGTGCATGGAGCACGGCAGCAGCTCATGAGGTGCACCGCTTTCCCAACCCCGCCCTCACCCTTCTCCACCTTCCCCCCTCTCCCCCCCACGCGCGCCCCAATCTCAGGTGGGGGCGGGCTTCACACCGTCGCGCCCACTGCTGCTGCGCCTGCGGCGGCGCTGCCTGTGCTCCGGTCTGGCGCAGGGCGTGGCGCGTGCGGAGGGCCTGCTGCAGGCGCTGCGCTTCCGCACCGTCAACGCCGACGAGCGCCGCCGCCGCCAGCACCTGGCCCAGCTGCCGCCCTCCGTGGCGGATCCCCGCCTTGCTGCCCGCATGCAGGGGGCGGGGCAGCGGTGGGGTAGGCGGCGATGGGGGGAGCAGGGGCAGCAGGAGGGGCAGGGGGAGCAGCACCAGCAACAGTGGCAGGAGGAGCGGCGGCAAGAGGGGGAGGAGGCAGGTTCACCTGGTTTGTGAACGTGGACAGCTTTGTTGGGCTGAAAAACCCTTAGGATCTTTGCAGGGGTGAACTCTGGGTAGAGTTGGTGTAGTAGCGGAAGCGTTAATTAAAGAGTTGTGAACCACCTTGCGCTAGTATGTGAGGGCAAAGTAAGTTGATTAAAACAAAGAGATACAAGCTTTTATAAGAGTACAAGGAATACGAAGAGATACAGTTAATAACCGTTTTACTATTGCTGTTGCGGTTCGATACAGTGACGACTCGGGCAACTGCTCAATACCGAGTCAGTTGTTTGTCCTTGCTGTCGCGCTGTACTTTGTCAGGTCAAAGGTCGCTGACCTTTGACTTTCGCGTAACCTCCAACAGTTATTTTCAACCTCCGAGGGTTGACTCGCCGGTGATTCGTTATACTTCGTTTCTTTTGTGTCTTAGTGTTTCGACACGACAGAGGCGCTTAGGACCGATTGTTTCCAACACTCCCCTTCGATTCTGGAGTGTCGCTGACGTGGCTCTGTCCAGTCAGCAGCATGCAGTATTCGAACTTCTGCTTTCCGAGCTTCTTGGTCAGGTAGTCAGCTGCCATCTCGGACGTGGGACAGTATGACAGCTCGAGCCTTCCCTTCTCGATCTCGTCCTTCACGAAGAAATATCGCAGGGCAATGTGTTTCGTCCTGTTCGCGAAGCCGTTCTTGTTGGCGATGCGAATTGCCGACTGGTTGTCGCAGAACAGGGTAAAGTTGGGTAACTCGGCTAACTTCGCTTCTTCCAGCAGCTCGCGAAGATAGAGTCCTTCCTTGGTGGCTGAGCAGAGTGCAATATATTCTGCTTCAGCTGACGAGAGAGCAATTAATTCCTGCTTGCTCGACTGCCAAGAGATAGGTCCGATAGGTTCGAGGCGGTAGATGTAGCCGGTGCGGGAGCGCCTATTGTCGGAGTCGCCAGCGTGATCAGCGTCGACGTAGCCGATTAACTTAGTCGGTGTGGTTGCGTTCTTGTAGTAAGTTAGGCCGATCGTTGGGGTGCTGACGAAGTAGTGAAGAGCGCGGTCGAGCTCCGCCAGATGTTCTGCTTCAGGCTTCTTGAGGTAGGTGGCGAGCTGGCTTGCGGAGTATGAGAGGTCGGGGCGACAGGTGACGGCTGCGAAGAGAAGACATCCCAGCTTCTTCTGGTAGTCTCGTATGCCGGCGGGCTTGAGTAGAGCGGAGCTTCCTTTGTCGTTCCCTGCCGTGTAGCGGTATGGCGTGGAGATGGCTGTCGGTGTGAGCGTAAAGCGTTTGGCGATGGTGTCGGCATATTTCTCGGCGCTGAGGTAGATCGCGTCCTCCTCTTCCCGGATGTTGAGGCCGAGGTACTGAGTGACTGTAGATGAAACTGTGAGCGTGAGATCTCGCTGCAGCTCCCCTTCGAACCAGGTAGTGATGCCGTCATTTGAGCCGATGTAAAGGAGATCGTCCACGTAGACGATTAGTAGGATGTAGTCGTCGTTTTTTGTGAGCCGGTACATGCCTTGATCGTGCGGTAGTTGCTTGAAGCCGATGCGGATGAGGCGAGCGTGCAGGTACCGTTGCCACAGTCGCGGAGCCTGCTTGATGCCGTAGAGTGACTTGAGTAGCTGGCAGACTTGGTTGGGTTTTCTGTGGGAGCCGTGCGGTAGCTCGACGAAAATTTCTGCATCAACAGGTGCGTAGAGAAACGCGTTCGCGACGTCAATTTGTCGCAGCTTTTTCTTCTTCATGGCGGCGATTGCGAGGAGAATGCGTAGTGAGGTGTGGCGGCTAACCGGAGCGAAAGTTTCGGTGAAGTCGCGTCCGTGTTCTTGGTCGAAGCCGCGTACAACCCAGCGAGCTTTAAATTTGTCAATGGTGCCGTCAGCCTTTGTCTTCACACGGAAGACCCACTTCCCGGTGAGCACTGTCTTGTTCCGTGCCACGCCGATAGGAACCACTTTCCACGTGTTGCGTTCCTCCAGTGCCTTCAGCTCCTTGTCCATGGCTTCGCGCCATTTTTCCTTAGCTCCCCCCCCAGAGCCTGTTGAACCGTCGCAGGCTCTTTAGGAATGGCGGTGCCATGGACTGCGGTGACGAGTCCGAGAATTTGCAGTCCACTCTGTGAGTAGCGGGGAAGATTTGCGTCCTCGGGATAAGCTGCTTCATCTCCCGCTTCTGGATCAGGTATGAAGTTGGGTCCTACTCGTTCTGCTTCGTTGGTGTTGACTGTCGCAGGTGTTACGTAACCGTTGTCGGCGAAATAGTAGAAGGTTTCGGCGTTGACACTTTCGCGAGGGTTATCTTCGTCCATGGGAACGTCGACGGAGCAGAACGGAAGAGGTACGGCTTCTTCTGATGCGTTGTCCACATTCTGCTCGTCCCAGTCAGCTTCGTCCGTTGCTGAGGCGAAGGCTCGGTCACCGCGAAAACCACCTGTGGGATCCTGGTCTTCTTGCAGGTTGGCAAGGTATGTCTGGAGCGTGAGTCGTTCGTAGAAAATTACATCACGTGCTGCTACTGTTTCCTTGGAATGGACGTCGAAGATTTTCCACGCGTTGTAGTTCTTTTCGATTCCCAGGTGTAGTCCCCACTGTGCTCGTTGAGAAAATCGGCCCGCTCGTGCTGCTGGGGGTCGGTACTGTACCATGCATCCGAATACTCGTAACATTTTTGTGCTGCCCTGTTTCCCTGTCCATAGCAGATGCAGTGATGCGTTGTTTGGAAGCGATGATGACGAGAGCAAGTTGTGCAGCATGACGGCGTGGTCCATTGCCGCAGGCCACTGGTGGTTGGGTAGCCGCATGCCACGTAACAGTTTGCGCATGCTGTTCTGCAAGGTCCTGTTCATTCTTTCTGCTACACCTTACTGCTGATGGGCGTAGGGAAGGGAGATGAGCCGCTTGATTCCCCTTTCCGCCAGGTACTGCTTGAATCACTGAGAGGTGTATTCTCCTCCTCCGTCTGACTGGAAGCTTTTCAGTTTCACGCCCGATTCTCTCTCTGCTACTGGTAGCCAGGCAACGAAGGCTGCGAATGCCATGTCGCGGCTAGGGAGGTTTAGGTGCCAGACGTAACGGGTGGCGGCGTCGATGAAGGTGATTGTATAGTTGTATATTACTTGTCCTGGTTCCCGATTGTACAGGATGTCGCTATACACCTTCTCGAGTGGTGCGTACGCGGGTGCGCTCGGGTTGTGATGAGACGCAAACGGTCGATGTGGTAAGTCACCTTCAGGGCAGGTGAAGCACGTTCCGCGTACTCGTTGAAGTTCTCGTCCGTCGGTCAGTAGGAGTGAGTCCTTGTCGAGTACTCCTGCTCTTATCGTATTGTTTAATACTGTGTTGCTTGGGTGTCCCATCCTTGCGTGCCAGGTGCTTTCGTCGACGCGATGTCCGGGTGATCGTCGGTACATATCGGAGTTGGAGTAGAAGTTGGCAGTGAAGTTGGCGCTACGATGAACTTCTTGTGGTGCTGGGTGTAGTTGTTGCGCGGGTGTCGGTGGTGTGTCGTCGATGAGGAGCGGTGTCGTTGAAGGACCAGCAATTGGTGTTGACGTTCCTGCTGCTGCCGTTGATGGTTCTGCTACTGCCGATGTTGTCTCTGCTGCTGCCGATGTTGTCTCTGCTGCTGCCGATGTTGTCTCTGCTGCTGCCGATGTTGTCTCTGCTGCTGCTGATGTTGTCTGAATTGTTGCTAACGCCCTTGTTCTTTCTGCTTCAGGGATGGTGTGTGAATACCAGAAGCCTTCTGGACTGAAGTCTGGATCAAGGTCTGGAGGGTGTGTCCAGTTGGTGAAGTTAACGATGGCGTCGCTGTCGGCAGTGCCAAGATCAGGAACGAAATCGAGAACGAAGACGTTGTTCTTGAGGACCGCCTTGCCGATGTAAAGTCCTCCTCTCCCGTGATACAGCTTGAATTCTTGGGTGGTGCTGTCTGCTTCGAGGTGAATCCCTTTCGCCATTAGCTGACTGACGCTCAGTAAGTTGTAGCCGAGTCCCTCCGCGATTAGTACTTTTGACATCTGCAGTATAACGTTTGTTTCCCTTGACTGAAGTTGAACTACGCCTTGTCGTCGTGTTCGCAGGTTCTGATTGTTGGCGACTTTGATGACAACTTCGCGTTGAAGTTGGTGTTCTCGTTGAACGAAGCGTCCCGAGGAGCACATGTGCTGTCCGCAGCAACTGTCCAAGAACCATGTGTCCTTTCCGGATGGTTCGCTTTGGGCGATGGCGGCGTATGTCGGGTTCGGCTGAAGTGACTCGCGGCGGGGTGTGGTTTCGTCGAGTTGTTCTTCCCGTGAGTAGTGTGGTGGTGACTCGGTGATGCAGGAGTCACTCAGCTTTGCCATGCAGCTGACGATGTTTCTTGCTCCTTGTGCAGGTTGTCCCGTTGAAGTCGTTGAGGCTTGAATCTGGGTCGTGGGATTTGCTTGCGTTGAGGCGATTTGGCTGCTTGAAGGTCGAAGTTGCCGCTGTGGAGTTGTTGACTGTTGACGATTTGGGCAGTGCGTACGCGGGTGTCCTGAAGTTTTGCAGATGTGGCAGAACGGAGGTACTGGCTTCGGTTGTTGCTGCCGGTTGTTGTTGTTGTTGTTGTAGCGTCGCTGAGTGTGGAACGCGAATTCCGGTGCTGATGTCTTCTTTTTGTGTCGTTCTTCTTGCAGGTCCATGTCTTGCTGCTCGGCGTGGATTTCGGCGCAGAGCGCTGCTTCGGAGATTCTTCCGTGAGCTCGGAGAATGGCCTTTGTGGCGCGCCATTGAGGACCGAGGCCGTCGATGATGACTGTCACGAAGGCGTCTTCAGAGATCGACCCTCCGCATCGAAGAAGCTTGTCGCGCAACTCGCGACATCGACTGATATACGCCATTCCTTTCTCCCCTGGTTTCATTTCAACCGTTGTCAGTTGCGCCATTAACCGACTTTGGCTTACGCTGTCTGTTGCTTGATACAGGCTCTTCAGGTGGTTGTACGCAAGCTCCGCGGAGTTGCCGTAACCTCGGTAAGACCTTATGTTCTGCTGTTGAGTCGGG